TATGGGAAGGGGTGTGGGTGGGGGGGGGGGGGGGGGGAGCATGCCATGGGGATGAGACACCAACTGCTAGGCCAGGGTTATATCTCCTTGAACTGGAAAGCAGGCATTAAGCTCCAAGCCTCTGGTACAGGTTTACCTGCCTGAAACATGCTGAAGAACACAAAACTACTCATCAATTCAGTTTGTTGGAGTGGGGAGTACACATCATGGCATAATGCTGGATCCCTGGCCTCTGTAGTCCACATCCCTGATGTTCTTGCAGAAAGAGAAAACTAGTACTAAAAGGATCGAAAGCCAAAACATAACTCACTTGGTGAAGCTGAAAGAATCCTTTTCCCCTCTCTGACAAGGAGGTTTCTGAAAACAAAACCAAAAATCCCCACAAAGGCACAGTGTGAAACCACAACACTGCGATTCTCTATTTTAGACTGATTCACAAACAGAACATTTGTCTGTGAAACAACAAGCTCCCCAAAGTGGGTCATTCTTCCACATGGAAGGGAGGGGAGAAGAAAAGAAGCCTAGAGCCACCTTAAAAACAAGCACATTTCCACCAACTTTTGCTCCAATCAACAGGGAAGTCACACAGCCAGTTTTTAATTGGCAGCTTAGTCAGAGGCAGATAAGCCTACCACTGCTCTGCTCAAACACATATGTATGCACCACATTCCTCTCAGTTTGCAAAACAGGTTTAATTGAAGCTCTCAAGAGGAAGTCAACCCAAGCACTTAGGTTGCCAGCAGCTGCCCCCCCATCCTTTTTCCTTTCCCCCCTTCTCATTTTTGTATGGAGGATGGAGTTAAAATGGAAGCCTTTTGCCAAAAGGCTGGGAAGACAGGAGTACTAGTTTAGATCTTGAGAAGGCAGAAAGGGACACTAGCCAGGAGAACATACCTATCCAACTTTAGTAGGGACAAGGAAAAAATAAGCAAGCAACGTTCATTGTAATACCTGGTGTCTTTTTAACTTTTTAAAGACTGAGCTATCAGAGAGATGAAAATAAAAATTCCACACTAAGATATATATATTATTTTGATTATGTAAGTTATGGCAGTTTATTTCCAGGACTACAATCATCGCAGCTCCCAAATACCACAAAATCGGCCAACTCAAGATGTCCCAAGTTAATTCCTTCAGGTCTAACCTATTACACAAATGACCGTGGAGGCGAGTAGAGGCAGTGAGCAATTGCTTTTCCTGCCATGAGCACCTCCAGGCTTTTGAGCTTTGATTCCAGGAGTTATTGAACTGTGAAGAGTTTTGTCAGGTCACTGGGAACTCATCGAAATTAACAGAAAATAGAAAAATGCTGAAGAAGTGCACAGGCAAGTTTCTGAAAGCCCAGCTCAGACTCACCAAACTCCTGCATACGCAGGGCTTGGTACCTGGGATGGAAGGTTTCAGTGACTTTCAGAGAGAAGGACAGCAAATGGATCCCTTTAAACACACACAAGCATGAGCATGACAACTGCATGAGACCAACTTGCTAATGCCAGTTAAAAAACAAAAAAACAACAGGGAACACAGCCATTGACTGGGGTCGGCTTGAAACCCCAGCAAACTCCACGTACAGCAGCAGCTTGGACACAGGACTTCTTATCTCTAGCTCAGTCACAAGCTCTGACCTGGACTCATATCACTAGAGACCAACCATTACTCTCTGGGATTAGGGCAATACTCAACTGGTAGACAAATAAGTGCATTTTTAAAAGGAAAGCATAGAGTAATATGAACTACCTGAAAAAGGGACATGTATTATATACAGTTTAACAGGATAGGAAAATTAAAAGGTCTCCTCACTTGCATTGGAAAAAAAATGAAATAATAAAATAAAAATCTATGCCGTCTCCTGAAGGGAAAAAAAAAAAGATAAAGGGCCAGGAACCAGAGTGGCCCAAAAGCACCACAGATCAGGGGTCCATTTTAGTTAGGCATCCCCTTTGCCAGCTTGACCAGTGCTTCAAAGATGTTAGGAAAAAAGCTTCTTAAAGGATAAGAGTTCCTGTCATCCCTAAAGCAACACAAAGGCCTCATCAAAAATCCAGCAGGCTCTGTAGGAGGCATAGTAAAATGCAGTAACAATTTCAGCATGGAGCTTCTAAAGGGTTATTAAAACAAAGGATTATTCTCCCAAGCTCATCCTCCCTCAACCCTTTAAAACAGAAAAGATGCTGACTGTGGCTTCAACCAAAAGAACAAAACCAAGCCACAACCATCCACAGGCACCAGACTAGCTTGATAAATAGGTGTTAGCAGAGGCCTCCCAATAATAGGAGAGGGCTCTTCAAGAGAGCAAGCAAGAAGCACCTCTCACTCACTCCTATAGTTGTTGATACAATAAGATATGATCTCTCACTCCCTAGGCTGCTGATACAAGAAGTCAGCTCCATAGAACTGACTGCAAATTTTAAAATACATGGTATTTGGACTTGAACCCCCTGAGCAGCTTTGCAGAAGTGCATTAAGAAAGCAAGCCACACAAAGGTCTTGGACCTGATGAGCCAGGGATCCTGGTTTCCTCCGATTTAAAAAAAATCCTCAACTTTTGGTTAAAAAAGTAATCAGAAAAATATGGATTTGGGGTTAAAATGAAACACCACTTTCTATATACTTAGATATTAGTGGCATTTCATTTAGATCATGCAAAAATGTGGATTTCAGATTACTTATTTTTAACCAAAAATTGGGGATTTTTTTAAGATCAGAGAAAACCAGGATCCTTGCTGATGACCAAGGAAGACAATACCATCATACATTTCACAGGTGGTAAGACCCCATCTCAGAAAGACATCTCCCCCCTAATCCTACAGATTTTTCCCTGCTTGGGTAGAAAGCTATTTTTAGTGGTGTGGATTGTGGAGGAATATTCTCCCACAGACACGGCATGTTGCAGG